TATGAAAACCTGTTTGAAAGGGTTGTCCATCATTTGTTAGCTCCCTCTTTGTATTATATAAATAAATCTTTTTAAATTATTATAAAATGACAATGGTTCACGCACGTTATAAACTGTATACTAAAGAACTAGTTTCTTTATAATAAATTATATTTTAATCACTTATAATATTTATAATAATATGATATTACATGAGAAAACTTTAATGCACAATTTGTGCAAAATTATTCAGAACGAAAAAACACAAATTCAAAAGCAATATAATCATTGATTACTTCCACGTACAGCTCCATTATAAACTCATATTTAAATTAAAATCTACACTCATCAATAATAAAAAGTGTTTAAAACAAGTACAATTAAAAAAAGCTTCATTACACAACCTTTATTACGTCCGTCAAGATGCATCATTAACGCGTCGATCTGCCGTTACATCAGCTGATAGCACAAAAACCCCACCATCTGCCGGCCCATGAATCACCGGCCCTTGGCGCGTGCCAAAAAAAACAACCCAACCGTTATATCTGTGGGTCCACCCACGTGGCAGGACCCCCGTTTAAAAATCGATATTTTTTTGTGCTAAGACTTGGCAATTTTTTTACTCGATCATTTTGTTATCTGTACTACTGATTAGCGGGGAATTTCCTTTGTGAACTTAATATAACAATATATGGAATTAAAAAAGTTTTCGTGCGTGAACCTCTTGAAAAGTATGTTTAAATGTGGTGTTGTTTAAATGTGGTTTGTTAATATAATGTTAAAATTTAATTTTGTACTTAAATTAAAGAATGAAACGTTAAAGAATGTCGTCACGATTTTCTTAGAATTAACAATAATTCTTTCTCATGTGAATAAAATTGTAATAAACTTGACAAAATTTATTTTAAATTTATACAATACTAGCATTGCCCGCGGCTCTGCCCGCGTTCAGATAACCAAAAACCAAATTCCTAGGTTTTACATATTAGAACACTCTTCTCTTACATTACATTTTTTGTATTTTTCTCAGAAATGAGACATTTTCCCAAAAGTATCCTATATATTGACCCGGATAACCAGCTATCATCATACCAAAGTTCATCAAAATCCCGCCAGTGGTTTTTTCTGTAATGCGGTAACAGACAGACAGACAGACAAAAATTCTAAAAACTATAGATTCGGCCTCTGTATCGATAATAAAGTCTATTTCAATAAGATTTTCCAAAAAAATATCTAACATACAGATTCGGCTTAGTTACAATTTTTTTTATGTATAGATAGCGTTATAGTTACTGCAAAATGTAATAAAATAAGATTTAGTATTCTTCATAAGTTATGGTTATGTTTATTAGTTTTTGATTATAGCCGCTTAAATTATAATAAAACTATGTAAGTATTGTTCTAGTAATATTATTCACATAAATATCAGCAATCTAGACATAATAATATTAACGTAAGGCAATCCAAGTATCTTACAAAATAAAATACAACTTATAATAAATCCTCTTTAATTTCGAGATGTCGCGACGGTATTCATTGCCATTAATTCGAGTGCAAAAAATGTTGCCGATTAAAGTAATCCACAAAACAAAAAAAGCCATTAAAATCTGCGATAAAAGCAATGGATTTGTAACAAAGTTTTTTAGTAATGTTTATTGCTGTATTGTTCGTAGCGTTTCGACAGGAAAAGCGAAAATTCATTGTTTTTTATGTACATTAGACTATTTTTGTGACTAATCTACATTTTTTGCAACCGTGAAATATCATTCGACATTTAAATATTTAAAACTTGTATTCGACCTTTATAAACATCCTGACATCTAGGCGTAAAGATTTTTAATCACTATCAAGTTGATAAAAAAGATTATAATTTTATATAAATTGTACACAATCGTAACATCTGCCTTATACAAAAACATCAACAAAACGGCACCTTTGGTCGACAATGGGTAGGATCGGCCTATGATAAAGATCCTAGAGGTGTATCCACTGCATCGATTTTGATTGGAGCACGCTCGCAGCTGTCGAGCACATTGCGCGACTCGTGCGCACAGATAATGTGGGCGACATATGAACCATAATATAAATAATCTTGTGAGGTTATACTAAACTAAAAAAAAAGACAGTAACGGACGTCACAGCTTGTGTAAATAATATTTATTTAGTTCCTGTACCGACGGTATAAAATAAAAGTATGGTTTATTTTAATATTTTCTAATATATTAAGTTATTTAACTTATTAGAACCTAACTAAAATTATTATATTTATAGCTCTACTTTACCTAAAGTTTCTAATCAAGATTTTATAGTTGATATGGATAGAATTAAAAAAACCATAAAATTTCATAAAAACAAATAAAAAAATAACGTCTAAGGAATAATCTGTACATAATAATAAAACAGTAACTTAGCGAATCGAAATCTATCCATGAAATATATTTTAAAAACAATGACTGTAACGTATTATGTATAGAAAATAGATCCTAAAACAATATTTATTAAAATGTTTGTATGCTTAGAAAAACAGGAAAATCTTTAGGTTTCCCTAGAAAACAAGGTTCGAGTCATCCTTAGAAAACATGGCTAACGTTGGCTAAACATGTTAGATTTAACACGGTTTAACTTAAAAAGGCCTCTATCTAAAAAGGTGTCTATCTCCAAAGTACACTCGCAATAACTATTTATATTTAAAGTTACCTAGGGACCGACCGAGTGATGAGAGGGTAAGTCGTTAGTAGGTAATAAATGCATAAATGATTACTAGAAGCAAGCGAAACCGCAAGCACTCTGCACTAGTTGTTTGAAAAAGCATATTTATTCAAAGTACCCCGCCGTTACGTAGCACACAACTACGTGACAATTGTTCATTTCTTATTAGTAGAGCCCATACTTGATTTATGTAATTCTAATGAGAACACTAGTAAAAACGTCAGGCACAACATAATTGCTTTGGAAGGTTTAAATAAAGGTGAACAGAACAAGGGAATGACTCCCTTCTCTCCCTGGCTCAGCTTTACGGCGGTTGTTATAAAACTAATTTGCTAAGTTTAAGTTACTTTGCAGCCCTTAACTTATAATCGTAAATTAAGTCAAGTAGATTTCTTCTCTCAAGTTTCTGCCAAAACTTTTCCCTCGGAATCTGCTCCATATTAATTATTATACTTTTTCATTCTTTATATTAAAATAGTTCTATTACTTCTTTCAATATGCTAGGTTGTATTTGTTTTTGTTGTTATTAATTATATTGATATCGTCTAAATGAGAAATAGATTCTAAAAAGAAAAATATCTATTGGTTATATCGTAAATCTTGTTTACGAAGCAATTTTATCGCTAATATCCACTTTCCACATCGTACTTTATTTGCAGATTGATTTCTTTAGTTTGATATTTTTGAAATATCATGACTAAAATGACATGAAATATCAAGCTTACGTTACGTATAGATTTTATTACATTATTAAAGTGTGGAATATTCTCAAACAAATTAATTAGATTTGTACATATTTAATGAAATAATTTTTTTATGAAATTGGTTTATTATTAAATATTTATTTTTAAAATTAATGTAGATTTGAAACCATTATATAATAAATGCTATTATTATTACAATATAAATTTTAGACAAAAATGAAGTCAGAAAAGAGAGATTGCCTACGATTTTTCATGGGCTATTAACTTTGCAGTTGTTTTTATTACAGTTTTATGGTAATCACCAGTCTTTGTTTTGAATTTCGATTTGTAAAATACATTATCAACATAGTCACAAAATAAATATTACAAATGGCTCTAATCACTACATAGTATAAAACAGTCGTTTCCCTGTGTCTGTCTGTCTCTACGTATGCTTATATCTTTAAAACTACGCAACGGATTTTGATGCGCTTTTTTTAATAGATGAGTGATTCAAGAGGAAGGTTAGGAAAAGCCGAGAAATTCAAAGATTTGTATTTCATACTAACCGTTTAAATGTAACTAAGGATCATGTGAGTTGCTAGGTTTCTTATAAAAAAAATTCTTTCCTAAGAAAATTTAGATGTACTTTTTAATAAAAGAATAGATAATAATACAAATGTAAAGTGAAATTCATGATAAAGTATTTTTGGGTATTTTATATCGTATATTCCGGATATAAAGTGAGACACATTGCTTCCGCCATTTTACAAAGCCCGCGAAACCGACAACTCAAAACAAGATGGCGTTAATCTATGCAGACGAATAAATTAATGCAAATTGAGCCTCGTAAATAAGTCATACAAAGTGTTTGCGTCATTCACAAATCGATTCAGTTTTTTTTTTTCAGTTGAATTTACTATGTGTTACCGAAAATACCACATTACTTATAAGTACATTTGATTTCAAACGTTTGTTGTCACGTTATCAGAACATTTTTTTGTGTTATTACATTTCTTTTTCTCTTGGTTTATTTTATTATTATAATGCATTTTAAATTCATTTTACATGTAAATATTATTTATTTAGTTATGTAAGTCTAGAATGTTTCATATAAAATGTCAAATATCCATATAAATTAAAGAGTTTTTATTTAATTACTATATTCTAGTAGAATAAGACCAAAAAAAATTTAGAAGATTTGTTATATGAAAAGAATATTTAACTTTTGTGTGCTAAAACCTATGATTTTACTATAAATTATTTTCTAGGAAATATGTTGTCATCTCCAGGCTCTTAAATGTTAGGTATTAAAATTCGCATTTCTTTTTTTTTAAGTTAAAATAAGTAGCTTATTTTCAGTCGGCTATTTTTCTTAAGAATAAGGAATAATTTTACGAGCTGCTCCTAGAGTTTTTTATAAACGATATGTGTATTTCTATGATATCAATACTCAATTAACAATTTTCTGTTGGAATTTTGTATGGTTAGTGATTGTTATTGTTTAGTTAAATGAATTGCGAAATAATAATTGAAAAAAAAAGTATCATTTAGAGTATTTCTTAGGAAACAATAAGTATATAATAATAATAAGTTCTTAGATAGTTCTAAAATATTTAAAAGTCCTACCTTCTTCTCCGTCAACTTCTCGCACCGCCGCTGCTTGCATATTTGGTGAGACTTGTCGTTGCGACACGGCGCACAGTCGCCGCAGTTGTCCTTTCTTTGGCAACCGATGCATTCGCCACATCTCTTCCTTTTTTTCTTAGTCTGTGATGGGAAGCACTAGAATTGAGTCAATTTGTTTGTCAAACTTCTGTTAGTAATAACATTATTTATAGTATATTTATATTACTAGCTCCTTACCCTCGGCTTGTTTTGATACGTCCCTAGGTAATACCTAGTAATTTATTTGTGCGCTAAACTTCATCCAAATACGTGCAGCCGTTTCAGCAAAATGTAGTAACAAACGAACACATAAATGACTTTTTTGTGTGTATGTGTAAAACAAAAATAAAAAATAAAATTTCTCATATATTCCGATCATATTAAACTAATTCGTTGGTGTTGTTGTCTGTGTAAGGTATTATTTTAACAAATTTGTGTGACAAGAGATATTTTAAAAATAAGTTAAAGTTATAAAATATTCAACTCGACTTTGTCAGATACAGAATAATATTATTAAAAATAAATATCTTCAACCACAACCGTTTTGTCCGTTTGACATTTTTCTGTGTAAATAATAATGTAAATAAATAAATAAATTGCAATGAAATGATGTGCTCTCAATATTTGGTTTGCGTGTCGGAACTTCCGTACAAACACAAAGATTGCAATTATATGCAGACAACAATTTCGGCGCATTCTGAACTCGTTAATGACTCGTCTGGCTCGCGTCATGCGCATGCGCTCGATCGTGACGGCTTTGATATCAATCTTTGTTAACATTTATATTGAATTATATAGTTAAAGCTGTTTAGATGAGATCTTGAAAATCATATTATAAGAAACGAAAATAAAATAGTTATAGTATTTTAATTTGTATTAAATTATTATATTTAATACAAAGTTATTAAACTAATAACCTTTCATTAAAAACAATTGTTAAAGCATTTATTGTGCTCCACCCGCGTAGTACATTAATGTATTATTATATTATAGCCAAAATATTACTCTGATATATAAGCTACTAAGCAGTACCCGCGGCTTCGCCCGCGTTCAAACTACTAAAAAAACAAACTTTTTGGCTTTACGTCATAACTAATAATAATTTGATGACACTCCGATAACAGCGCCACCTGCCGGGTCCATTTGTAAATTTAAACCTTGCCAGGATCCACTCGAACGTACACAAAAAATATCATTAAAATTGTCCCTGTCGTTTAGGAGAAGATCAGTGACATATCGAAAGCGGCGCCACCTACCGGGTTTAATTATGTATTCAAACCATCCAGGGACCCATTGAAATATGCACACAAAATTTTATCATAATCGGTCCAGCCGTTTAGGAGGAGTTAGGAGACTAACACACGTACAGAAGAATTATATATGTACATATATTAAGATATTTCCGTAAAGTGTCATCAATATCCGTTCAGTAGTTTTTGCGTGAAAGAGTAACACATAACGTATAGATGTATAAAAATATGTTACATTTATACTTATACTAGTGACTTACACTTGATGTTCTCTGGTGCGCCCCTAGATGCATATAGCGTTGCTACAGTTTAATAAGATGATCATTTTAAGAGAAATAATTCTGTAATATTACTTTATTAGTTTACGCAGCGCACGCTTATAAAGCTCTCAATCGGCATGATTTTTTCCGACATCTTCAACAATCACCGTCATATTTCAGCCAATTTAAACAAAACTTTAATGAATTATACACACAAACCTTCCTCATGATCCACTCCATTTATTCGTGTAAATTGTATGAAAATCCGTTCGGCAGTTTTTGAGTTTACCGCGTTCAGATAGACAGACAGGAGACTTTATTTAACAATAAGTATACATACCATACATAGATACATACATACATCCATAAATTCGCATAAATTTTTGAGTTTACTGTATTAACTGTTATAAACGAACAAACTTACATTATAACCATAAAATTAGATACAGCTGTGATGCGAAGCCGCCATTTTATCCACGTTCCTATCGCGATTGGAATCGCCCGATTGTTCCCGACAAACAGCTGACGCGTTATAAAAAGGGACTTTACTTTTACGTACTAATAATATGTGTTTGTTATAATTTATAACTTTATATATGAAATAAACGAAAATGAAATACGATAATGTAGAAAGCTTATATTAAAGCTTAAATCAAGCTTTGATCAATAAAATGCATTGAATTAAAATAACAACATTCTTTTTATATGTGTAGTAAGAACTAAAATTTATCTTCAATTAACACTTTTATTTTTATATTTTAACACCTTTGCGGTTGGGCAGATGTCACACCCAGGTAGTATACAGCATTCTAATTAAACCTGTTTGGATCTAACATATGCATTATAAATGCATTTAAACTATACGTGTTAAATACTTAAAGTTTAAATGTAAGGTAATATTTGTTTTGGATTAAAATTAAGTAGTTTTTACAACGCTAACATATTCTGTATAAATTAGTTAATGAATTGCATTGATTGTAAAAATTTGACAAATAAATTTTGCAGCCGTAGGTCCTACAAAATTTTTATGCCTAAGAGCGTCAAAAACTTAAATATTTTCTTAATTTCAACTTAATTTTCATTCTCAACATGAAATAAATATAAACTAATATTCAATTGGACCGTCCTTGTTTCGCGTTGAGTTTCCAGGAAACTTTGGTTTTCCCAGCTTGAGTCATTCGTACGACGACTCTACCAAATATCAAAAACCTATCTATCCTATTATATATCTATGGAACTGCTGCGAATGATTTTAGTAGTTTAGTCATATGTATTGTTTTATAGATCAATAAATAGAATAGAAATGGCGAAAGATCTGTATGTCATGAATTAACCACTTTAATGCATGTACCTATAGACTACTTGAAAAATTAACAAATATAGATTTACTAGAATAAAAAAATAAATAGGTATGACAATATGTCTTACAAAAAATCTAAAACAAATTTTTTTTAATTAATACTATTATTACAATTAGTTTAAAAAAAACTAAAATTATATGGAAAGTAGGTACGGTAACGGTTCTTAGAAAAAATATCGTCTGTCTTGGAAATTTTATATAACAGAAATACAGAATGCCCAACTTTTTAAAATTTCATTATTAAATTCTCATTATTAAATTGTAATTTCATGATAACCATTTGCGTGCCACTAATGATGGATCTGATAAAATCTTTATATCAAATACAACTTAGCTATTGTTTGAAATTTTTAACACGTTATAAGTTATTAATATTATAATATTATTAATAAATGATTCATGACAGATATAATCTTAAAGCCCAATGTTATTATAAAAATAGTTTTTGCAAGCTTTTTTGCTCATTTGTGGCTTGTAATTGATACGCTGTCAGTTTTTATTACATACATAGTACTCACGTTAGCTTCTTGAACGTTTTATTGAGAAATAAAACATGCTCTACCCTTAATAGTGTAGCGTGTCTTAGGTTATACACATTTTCATATCTAAGTAAACGGTAAATAAGTACAACGATGTTAAGTAAATATAAATGACTTAAAATATAATATACTAACGACACGCCCTCGCTTTGCTCGTGTTCTTCGCTAGAAACGTTTTAGCGGTTAGTGATTCCCATATAAAATAATTATCTCTAAAGCTTTCGATTTTCCAGCAATTTTTTTGGATTTCCCCAATTTTTTAAATTTTTAAACCTCCCCTGACACACCCCCAATAAAACAAAAAAGAATTATTCAAATCGGTCCAGCCGTTTTTGAGTTTTAGTATATATATATATATATATATATATATATATATATATATATATATATATATATATATATATTCATATATATTAGGCAAATATAAGTTAAATTCTAATTGTGAGGAAAAGAACGTGCCGTATGTAATTAGTGTAGTATAGATGCGAGCAGCTGCGCACTCGCAAAGGTGTTCATTATTAGACTAGGAAATGCTGACATTTGTAATGGAATGTCACCTTAGTTTGAACCTTTTCTAGAAATTAGAAGCTTTTCTTATATTTTTTATGATTTCTATAACCATGGCTATTATAAATAAATTATACCATTTATTTATCGACTTATAGAATTTTTTGTATGAAATTGACGTATGAAAATTACAGTGTATTATTTATTTAAAATATTTTTGACTTTAAGATGAGTAATTTTACTTTGTTTTCGCTTTTATAATATTTTTAAATAAATAGGCTTAAAGCCTTATCGAACAAAAGAATAAAAACTCGTAAAATTTTCTAAGCAGGACACGCGTAAATCGTCCGACTTTAATTTGTGTTTTAAATGAGAGAGGAAGTTAATTTATTGGTGGAGCAAGCGAATCGGCTAACTATTAAATTTATAGCCGCGAAGACAGAGAGTTCGGCTATTTCGAACTCGGGACGCGAATAAAAACTGCTTCTCGAATAATAAAAGGTGAAATTACTGGAAAACTTTGTCCTTTCCAAAGTCCCGAATATGTGCCTTAGTCGTCCCCGTGTAGTCGGCAATTCACGGAATTCTCATATCTTTCGTCTTATATTCGCTATTCTCAATTACCTGGCGTCTTGTTTACACAATTTACCAATTCGCGGAAACTAAGATTTGCTGTCTGGACTGACTTTATAGTGTGCGATTAAAGCTCTTATATTGTGAACATAACTCACATCTTTATAAAGTGTTAAAATTAAAAAATTAAATTTAGTATCTGACTAAGTCGAGATGTTTACGAAGTTATAAGAGTGGGATATCAATTACAAATTATTAAGAAAATATGATATAATATTTAGATGCTCACCTGTTTTTCACTTGATATATCATCGAGATCCATTGGTCCAGTGGCCATCGGTGGTGCCCCATGCATTGGGGATTTGAAGCCGGCAGTAGACGATACTGCGGCAACTTGCCCACTACTCTCTGACCCTACTTCCATGTTAGAACAATCTGATTCTGAACTGTTAGCACGCATTTTCCGTCTCTCCTTTTTTCGAAAATCTGACCGTGTAGGAGAGGAGCCACTTCCAAAACCATTTGATTTCTTATCATACCCATTGTCAATGAGCATAGGATTTTGAAAATTATTATGATGTAATCCATTCGGTGTATATTTGTCTTGAAGAGATTTTACATCAAAAGGTTCATTCTTCAATACATGAACTACGGTAGGGCTTTGGATATTTTGTATTAAGCTTCCATTTTGATGTAGAAGCGTTCCATTTTGGTGTAATATACTGTTTTGTGTAGGAAACGCATTTATTGTCGCAATATTTGGCTGATAGAGTTGTATATGCCGATCGTCGATATACGTCTGGCCGGCTGGCGCTAATTCTCGAGCTTGCAAAGGAGCAGGGACTATTGGATAACTCCGAGCATTTACAGCAGTTAAAGTATGGAATGTTGTGGCATTTACAGGTGACAGTGTCGTTAGAGTTGTCGACAAAGGGGCCACCTGTGCCAGAGTGGTTAAGTGTGGTGATGATGGTGTTGTGAGTTGCGTGAGCTGGGTTAACTGACTAGGGCTCGCGCTAGGGGTCGGGCTAGTTGTGACAGGTACTGGTGTCACACTGGGGAGCCCCGTTTCCGGTATCACTGTGGTTTCTGGAAATGTTTGGAATTGGCTTTGGAAGGACGGTAGCTTATTCGCTATTGGCTGTAGCGTGACTGACTGGTACTCAAGAGGAGATGAGAAACCAGCCCGGAGTATTGCATCTTTCGAGTTGACCGTGATAGGCATGGACTCCCACGGGCGGTATTGCGGCTGGCTGGCAATCACGGATACCGTGTCGCCGGTCCTCTCGTAGTATTCCCAGCCCGGGTCTAAGAGTCGGGTGTCGGCGGTGAGTATCCGTTGCTCGTTCTCAGCCATCTCGCCGAAGGTAGAGAAAGGCGGCAAGTGCGCGCTATCCGCGCCCGCCTCACTACGGAGCGCTTCGCTCATGACGTGTTACCTCGACGCAACTTCATCGCGTCACTCTTATTCACCTATCTTTAGAAAAAATAAGCTCTACTAAGTCTATTTACGTTGTACTGAACACTCGGAACTGAACTGGAACTTGATAATTTGTACTCTTTGAACTGGCTTCGTTTCGTCCACGATATACTAAATAGCACTTAAGTTACGATTATACGGCACACTGGTTGACACTACACTAATCACAATATCTTCGATTTCTCACTATCAAATAAATTATGTAAAAAGTCCTTAACAACAGGCAGTTAACTTATATGAGTCTTAATATCTAAGGCTTATAAAAATCTTTGGCTGACTTTTTTAGAAAATGCTCGAGGAATTGGTTCGTTTTTTTAATTTTTAACTATTAATAAAATATTTTGTGCACTCATTTAACGAACTATTTTATTTTGGAACGTTAAAATACTGGTCGTTGATAGATTCTCTTTTTAACTTTTGAAGGCTTCTTTATTGTAAATACCGATCACTTCAGACTTAAATTAATTTGTACTGTTTGGGAGTTAGCGTATACTATTTGCGTAAAGTTAATCGTTAAAAGGTTTTAAAAAATAGTGCTTATATTAAATTTTTGAAATGAAAGATATGACTGGAGGCTTTGGTTTGAGGCTTTTGTGGCTTTTGGTTAATTTTGTTCTTCAGTTTGTGTCTGTCTTGGGGTGGAGGCTGGCCGGTGTTATCCGTGCGGCCTGCACCAGTCTGTGGACAATAAAACATAAAATTTACAAACTTCGTATTAAATTTAGTTGCATGATGTTTTATTTAAAATTATGGCAACACTCGGTTATATTTATTGCGCAAGGAAGCGCATGCGTATGCTGTGTTTTGAAGCGCGTGCATAAATCGATGGCGTAAAGCATGGTGCTTGCACAATTGATAGTAGTTCCATATAATTTCAAATGATTTAATTGATTCAAATATTAAAAAACACTTGATGAAAAAATGTGATTTGACGTTGTTTTTAGTTTTATAGTTACACTAGCATTGTCCGCGGCTTCGCGCGCGTTCAGATGACCAAAAACCAAATACTTAATTTTACATATTAATGTACACTTACAATGTAGTTTTCGTATTTTTCTCAGTAATGAGACATTTTCCCGCGGTAAAAAGTATCCTATATGTTGACCCGGATAACCAGCTATCATCATACTAAATTTCATCCAAATCCCTCCAGTGGTTTTTCCTTGATGCGGTAACAGGCAGACAGACAGACAGACAGACAAAAATTCTAAAAACTATAAATTCGGTCTCTGTATCGATAATAAAATCTATTTCAATAAGATTTTCCAAAAAATATTCAATGTACAGATTCGGCTTAGTTACGATTTTATTATATGTATAGATTAAACCTGCATTAATTTTTAACGATCTCATATTATCTCTTTGTATGTATAGGTATGTATAAATTATTATAATGATATTTTTTTCTTGAAATACTATATTATTCTATATTCGTAATCATTTGAAAAGATCATATTTTGTTTATATGTTCAGCACCTTGAATTATAAAGTATTAGCAGTACTTTTCATTATAAAACGTTAATTTTCCTTTTCTTATAAGTTATAGGTTATCACGTTCTCTTGGATATTTTAAGTTTCACAAACCAGATTTGTATATAAGGTTTTGTACATCCCGAACTATTGGGATATCTCGTCACGTGTTGCTGTTGTAAACAAACTATTAATAGAAGGGTACGCTAGTGCCACGCTCTATTTCGGAGCCACTATTTTAAGACAACTATTTTCGTAGATTTCGATTTAAAACCACGTATTTGATAGCATTTTATTTTTAAATGTATTGTTTTTGATGTGCTACATCCTTAAAATAGAATACTGATATATTTTTAAACAGAGAACTTCGAGTAAGATAGATTATATTTCAATTCAAATGCTATTAAATAAATATTTTAGTCACAGAAGCTTTACTAATTATAATAACCAAGGTATTTCCCTCAATCTGGTTTTTGAGACAACTTGAAAAGATGGCTTTTGTTTGTCCTACGAAAAGGGGCTAAATTGCAACATGCTTATTTCGACTTTTTCAACCCCTCAAGTCGATTTTCCTGGGGAAAATAAAAAGTTTTTATATCTACAACTTACGCTACTTGAGCGTTTCGCAACTAACTGAGAAATCGCGTAAGGACCATCATAGAGTTTGCTTCAAGTTTAGACATTGTTGTTAATTTTATTCTATTATTTACAACATTACATATACATTAAATTATATTAAAATTTTAGTATTTTAGAACCAATTTTATAAAATGTTCGAGTACGTACTTAAGGATGTGTTTTTGGTAGTATTTTATATTAAAAGATATAGTGACTAGACCTAAATGCAGTAGAAGTACATTAATATTTATTTTATTATTTCGCAAAGACATCGAATTATTTTTAAAAATCAAAAGAAAATTACTCCAGCATTGCGTCATCAAGCCTTAAAAGTACGATCAAAACGTCCCGACTAGTAATCACAAGGCGAAACTCTTTGTAGATGCGCACAAAGAGCGTTCGTCGAAAAAAAAGATTAAAAAGCTCAGTCGGAACGGAACGCAAGTGTCCGTTTGTGTGCGTGCGTTATTATTTGGCGATGCACGCTTGTGTGTGCAAGGATATGTCTGTGTAGTGTGCGGTGTGCGTGTGTGGATGCGATGCGCGTGTGTGCGAGCGGAACGCGATAGTATCTGGGTCTCGGTTGTCAAGGGCAACCGTACAACCGCTGCAGCGAAAGCATTGCGCTTTCAGCTTTGCGCTGTAATTATACGGCTTATTTTTAGCATCGGATGTTGTCGCCTTTTTGTCCTGGCGCGTTCTGGCGCAACGCGATGCACGTTTAGATGACGTTCGGAAATCCTTGAATCTTGAAAGCTGAACTTGAAGTTTGCTCGCTATTTTCATGTTTTCGCTTTTGCGACGCCGCTGTTGAAAATGTGCGCGTTAATGCAATACCCATTGTTCTACAAATGTTTTAATGTAGGTGTTTTTGGTAATGCAGCTAGATTTCTCGTGATTCTTTTGTGAAGAACTTTAAAGTGGCTATAAAAGAAAGCATTTTAAAATATAGTGGAAGCTTACAAAACGTTGTGTATTCGAATTGTTCAAGTTTAAAATTATTGGCTTATTTAAATAAATTTTATAGCACTACCGGCTGTGTTATACAAAGTATCACATCCGGCGCCTGCGCATAATACCTGCACCGGAAACTGATATCTCCGTTACAGTGATCATATTGCTGATAAAACTTATCGATAACTATATCTATCAATCATGCGAACTTATTTTATACTACTTAAGGAGTTGATAGCGGTGCTATTTATATACTAAAAGAAGTTATATTAAAACACAAATAAAACTTATAACGCGTTCAAAAGCTTTCGAAGGCTTATTAGCAATAATGTAATTCATGGAATTTTATACTGTCACTCTTTATTTAACCGTATAATAATCTATGGTGAAGCAATTTCTGACCACTCCTGCGCACGCCATCAATATAATAACCACAAGCACAGGATATGTACATCATACTGATTGCTATAGTGTGGACCCTGTTTTATAATATAGTGTACAATAGAATTTTTTTGGAAGAACTTTCTTCCTTAAAATACTAATCAATGCTTTTATTTACATATGTATGTATTTACGTTGTACGTATATGTACGTACGTTATTTAAATATCATAATTAGTTATCTTTTTATGTTGGTAATATATTTTTAATTATCTTAGAGTATTCTACGTTCACGGGCTTTAAAAATACTTTATTAAATTAACTTTCGTTTGATCAGTTTAAATATTAACACAAACATGAGACAATCGAAGTAGCGTATATTTATATTATTTTAATAACTATATTGTTTTATCAAATTTATCTTATTTTATAAATTCTGGAAAAACCTCTCTTTTTTAATTTAATGTAAATATAAAACTATATTTACTGTTCGTTTGAACGCGCTAATCTTACGAACTACTAATCCGATTTGAAAAATTCTTTTTGCATTAGATGTCCCATTTACTGAGGGAGGCTGTGAGCTATATATCACCACGTTATACTACAATGGGAGCGAAACAGTAATCATATACGTCAACAAATCGGGCATACTTCCATACATTATTGTAAAACTGATATTTATAATCAAACAAATATAGGGTGAAACAGCGTGGCATAGCTAGTTTTTAATTTTATTCCATAAATATATTAAAAAAAAAATACAAATGAACTAAACTAAAAATATCTCGCTCGAATAAAGTAAAACGATAAACGCGAACGCATAAATTGCGAACACATGTCTCCGGATACAAATACACCGAAATTCATACCTAAAGTGTGATCTGAGTGGTGACGTCAGTGGTATAAAACAAAAGATGGGCCGTGATTAAAGACAGTACAATGATAGGAATACCGATATAGAGTTACCGTCCCATCCCATTGAGGCACTCGAATCATGAATAGAGGCGCAGATGTGGCGTTTTTTACAACAATCTTTCCCACACTACCACTTTTTCTTACGCTTTAATACCTCACCATATTAACTTATAATGCACAAAATAAAGACTCTACAACTTTAAGCTTTATTTAATAGGTAGTGAAGTTCTAATTTCAACTTTTTAGTATTTCAAACGCAGTGGTAAGTTAGTTGTTATAGTTTTGTAAAGATTTTTTGTGCATACGTCTTTTACTATCAGATGCGACATCGGAAATTGAGTATTTTTTGTACTTACACCTATGAGACTGACTAAATTTGAAGGAAGTCACACATGTACTGTATGATTTACTATTGTTTCCTTTTTGGATTGTCGCTTTTATTTAATTTTTACTGCAATAAAAAATTACATTTTACATCAGCTGCACGCTAAGTTTAACACAGGACTTTAAAGTTGAAGCTCTAAACATTTTTTAAACTAGTCACAATAAGTGATTCATGGATATCAAAGTAATATCATCTAAAATAATTTGCTCTCACTTATACTGTAAAAATTGATCTTTCAGTCCATAGATAGACAAATAGACAAAAAATAATTGTAGGTATAATATACAATTACACATTTCAAATTAAGAATCAACAGTTGAACTAAGTGCATAAAATAGAAGGTAAATGCCATTCATTATCAATAACGAGTCGCGAATTTATTGAATGAGCACTGAAATAGAAATTGGAGTGCGATCTGTGATACAATGCCATCGAGCGTTCACCGGCGAGACTCCGTCTAAATAAAATATCGTCAATTACTCACAAACTTTGTCCGGCGATGTTTGAACGTACAGCTTTATATATTCAATATGAAAACCGAAACCCTTAGTTTACTTAGGAGCAATAAGAAGCGGATTATCCTTAAGAAAATATGAATCGATTTAATATATTACTTATCGCAATCGAGAGCCGCAGACGTAAAGCATTTGTTTGATACTTACATGTTTAGCGTGATTGAGAATATGTGCGATATTTTTATTTTAACAGCATTTTTAATTAAAAATAAGTTCTTAGAGTAATGGACTTAAATGTAATAAAATAATAAAGGTATTTTTATGCTATTACCCCATAACACCATTTTTGTTCTATCCGAGTAGTTATATACATTTTATGTCCAATAGGTAGATGGGGCTGCACGTTTATACATTACTAGCGACTCACTCTCGCTTCGCTCAGATTCGTTCCGTCTACGTTACGTCGTCTACTTTTTAACGGTTGTCGGTTAGTATGAAATAGATATACTATATATTATATGATAGGCCTATAGCCTTCCTCAATAAACGAACTATCTAATGAAAAACGAATTTTTCAAATTGGATTAGTAGTTCCTGAGATTAGCGCGTTCAAACATACAAACAAATAAACAAACTCTACCTCTATAATATGAATATAGATTAAATAATATTCTTTTTTTAAGCATTAAAATGTAAGAATGTTAAATATGTCTTCAACGAAGTATACTAGCTAACTGACTCCATTAACTAAAATAATATTAGCTCAGTCGGATTTTTGAAAAAAAGATTGTAATCCCGAAAATTTCCTGGGTCAAAAAATTTTTCGCCAGACATATTGTGGGGGGGAGGGGGTGTGTTGTTGTTCACTCTATGCGTCAGCCACCATCTTGATTTTAGGAGGGAATCGTTTTACCTCAATATCTTGGTTATTTTCAGCTTTTCGAGAAAATTAATAAGAACTAAAGTTGTTCATTAGGTGTTCAATTCTCTAAGTTTTATTTGTTGCTCATATTTTTTCATTCCATCGATATTTTCCAACTCAAGAGGGAAAAATGGAGGGAAATGTTATTATTGAATTATCTCATTTATTATTTGACTTTGGGGCCAAAATATACAGGAACCTACAACTTTAATCTCCACCATTTTTTTCGTAGTACCAATATTTAAGGTCCAGGCTTAGAACATCGAGATTTATTCATATAATGAGCAAAACCCCATGAAGCACATTTTCTTTTCCACGACTGTAACATACAGTAGGTATGTCTTCTAAAATAATAGCATCTGCTTCAAGAAAGACTCTCAACCTTTCTTCCTTATAGGATTACTTGCCGTATACCAGTCTTGCGAGAGGATTTTGTGACCAGTGTCATGAAAATATAATCCTGGTGCCTCAAACAATAATTTCGTCGCTATACTCCTTTTGTCGATGTTTTTTGAATGTTAAATCGCCTTCAATCTTTTCCATCCATTCATTCAGGTTTAATTCAGAATTTTAATTCCAAACAACTTTATTCCTGTCCATTAAGGACCAAAAGTCAATAACTAATGAGATAATTCAATAATGCCATTTTCCCCCGTTTTTCTCTCTTAATTCGGAAAATGTCAATCACAAGAAACAGCAACAAATAAAATGTAGAGAATTGAATAATGAACAACTTTAGTTTTCATGATTTTTTTCTAAAATTTAAAATTAGTCTAGATATTGAGGAAAACGATTCCCTCATAAAATTAAAACAGCTGCTAACGCCTCACCGAATTTGGTTGCGATTTTGAATTTACACTCCCAGTAACCCCCTTATAGGCTGGTGAAATAAAATAAAATTTTGACCTAGAATTTTTTAGGGGTTCAATTCTAACTAACCCCACAGGGTTTTATTAACTCTGTAAAATATTAATATTTTATAAAGACAAGGTACTGAATAAGTTTATCTATATATCCAAATACGTTCTATCTATTTATTAAAACTGTAGCATTTAACAATCAATATTTTATTTTATGGAAAGATTTACTTAACTGCATAAAACAGATAATTACATAATATTTTTAAATCATATAAATACGTTGCTATGCTCTTGATTAATAAGAAGTGAGCTTTTTTAGTTCTCGTTTTATTTGCTATAAAAGCACTTTAATTTATCAATATTAGCATATAAGATAAATTCTTAGTATATTATTTATTTGTTATGAATGAAAAAATAATATATTTTATGCTAAGATATTAGCCTGAACAGATTTACCAGCCAGAACAGAGATTTACTTTTTCTAGGATCATTTATAAAATTCCTTACAATTCTATACACATTATGTTATCATAATAATGATTTAGGATCATATTCTTATATGATTTAAAACGTTTTAAGTTTTAACATAAAAATAACTTCTTTGTCTACACATATAATAAAATCTCTAAAATCAAATGAAATCTGAAATGAAATCCGAGTCGAATCTGTACATTAAATATTTTTTGGAAAATCTTATTGAAATATTAATTATTTTCGACACAGAGGCCGATTCTATAGTTTTTAGAATTTTTTCACTCTGTCTGTCTGGGAACGCAACATGAGAAAATCACTGGACAGAATTTGATGTGGTATGACGATAGTTGGTTATCCGAGTCAATATATAGAAAACTGTTTACAGCGGGAAAATATCTCATCTCTGAGAAATCTATACTAAACGTTGAAATGTTAAAATAAAAGTAACAAAAAAATATATTTTGAAACGTCTCTAGGTAGAGTCTTAAAAACTTGACTGATTTAAAAAACTTTTTAACAAAAAATAAAAACCGACTTCCAGGCACTAAAATGTAAAAAATAACTAAACGGAGGTTTTCATTTAGAATAGATACCTGATCAGATATTTTCGAAGTTGGTGCCAGCTGATGCAAAGCAAATCTAATACATTTCGATATAATCTCAGAATATTGTAGGCTAGCACCGACTTCGAAAATATCTGATTAGGTATATATTCTAAATGAAAACCTCCGTTTAGTTATTTTTCACAATTTTAGTGCCTGGAAGTCGGTTTTTATTTTTTGTTAAAAAGTTTTTATTTTTCCATTTTTAGTGTAGACGTAATAAGCAGGTAATTTGTAAGAAGAAAGTTTTTTAATAACATATTCGATTAAGCAATTTATTTAAAAAAATATATTAATTGTTGAATTTTTATAAAACCGCTCAACCGATTTCGATAAAATATATATGGGACCACCTGAGAAGTACACCCTTTGAAATAAAACAAAAATTTTCCAAATCGGTTCAGGCGTCTTCGAGTAATCGGTGAACATACATAAAAAAAAGATTCCGACGAATTGAGAACCTCTTCGTTTTTCGAAGTCGGTTAAAAATACAAAGACAAACGAATCCGGCATATCAGTCATGTGACATAGGATAACTAGGATCAAAAAACTAAATCTAGAAAAAGGAAGCATAACTCAAAGGAAGTTCGTTGCACAACGCTCGGCATCGGCGCGGCAGTCAGCGGCAAAATTGGCCAATTTGTTTATTTGTTTTCATTGGCCGCACTGAACTTGACTCGCCATTATCGCATTCACGGGAGGAAGGCGTATTATTTATTCGATTATTCCGTGGGACCGTCCGGGTCGTCTTCGAGCTCGTGTGTTAACTGCTTGCTCGAATAGACTCTTATCAACTAGCGTATGTAGAACGAGAACTAGATACGTTGACTAAATTGTACTGTAATGATTTTGGATATGTTTTTATAATATCTATTGTATCTAATACAATTTTCGAAACATTCGAATGACCATGACACGTTATATTTATTATATATTTATTTATAAGTATTCAAATGTACCTAAAACTTTTAATAAAAGACAATTGGACAGTATACCTTTATAATACTTTATTCCAATTGTGTTTTTATTAGAGTGTTTTAAAATATTATTTACATCCTATAGGATCTTGTTACTCTAATATATTGTTTTATTATAAACAAATTCATGTAACAACGATTTTAAAAATAATTAATAGAATACGTATTATTAAATATATTTTGATCAAAAATTTAAGTAAGCAACTTATTGGCCTGTTTATAGAAATAAGAAAGATATTTATCGAACATACTTTATTTAAAATATTAATCCAAATTGACGCTTCAATAAAAATGAAGTAGAAATGCATATACAACGTTATTATTATGATAATAATTATCTTATTGGATCGATATTAGTAACTTTTAAACTATGTTGAAAAAGTTTATATATGGTTTCTACTTTTCTAGTATATATTTTATCATTTAATATAACTATTTTATACCATTTCATCCAAATTCTACAGAAAAAAGCAACACAAAACTAAAAAAAAATGAGTCATCGATAAGTACAACTCTACTCGTAATAGTACGGCCTGACACAATTAAGGGCTAAATTACGAATCATGCGCAATAACAACGACATGCCTGTGTATCATCACACTAATTTACTCTACACCCCGTGTTCCTGCGCATACACATACTAACCGTATTTCAACAAAAAAGCTTCATAGCTTTACTTCTCAAAAGTTATTTTGAACTATGCTTATGTATTAAATCAAACAAATTAGTAATTTAATCAAATGTTACACAGAACAGTTTTACATCGTTATTTACGTTTTATAATTCTCACATTGTGACAAACACCACAGCAGGAAAACGGGGATCAATTCGCGAAAGCACAACGAAAGCTCTGGCGGAAGCGTGCAAGCCGGCACCGGAGCCCGCTTCACGCTCCACCGCCGTCGTCCTGCCTAACTTACAACACAAAAACAACCAGAAGCTTCCACTATACTACTTTACAAACACTTCCACAACTTTCGAGCCCGCACAAAACTTTACAAACTCGCGGTACCTTCTCCGGTCGCTTGATCCATCCGCTCCTTTTTTTCTTCGTCTCGCTGCTCCGAAACACAAAACGGCCCGAAGGACGCGCGCGAAAAATAAACAAAAAGGGCTGCAGATCGCGATCGCGTCGGTGCGCGTGTTGCGACGCGGGAGTAAAAAGCGCGTGCAGTCTCGTCAGCGGTCGGCGGCGGACTGGCGCGGGCACGCAGCTGCCGGCCGGCGGCCAATGGCGGTGGGTCACGTGACGCCCCGCGCCGCCTCCCGCCGCCCCGCGCACCCCCGCGGCCACCCCGCACCCGCCCGTCCGCGCCCCGCGCGCCTCACCATCCGCGCCCGCACGTTGTTTACAAATAATAATAATAGGGCCGGTGGCGCCTCTACGGTCGCGGCGTACAGCTACGCGCTACGAGCTACGCACAGCTGTCGCTGCATTTGGCGGGATTCGAGCGAATGCTTCGATCTGTTTACTTACAACTCTTACAAGCTTTCGATCGATCGCATTTCGTTTCGCGTTCACGTTCACCAATTCAGTTTTGTGTTCTTTCGCATTTTCGTCGATTCGGTTGCCACGCTCATTTCCATAGCGTTTCCTCAGTTTATGCTCAATAATGGAATTATTTTGCAATTTCGGCGAGGGTGAGTGTGTTGCGACAGGTTGGTGTTTCCGATTGTTTTGCTCGTGCTATAAGGTGCAGGGAGGGTAGAGCCCTATAGCTCACCTATATCGCTGGCCCCACACGAGGTGCCCCGTGGCCTGTTAGTGAAACACTTGACAGACTCCGAGCTGATCCCCTTCACCCAGTTAATACACCCTCGTTATCTCGCCGTTTACCTTGTCAACCTTCATAAATTACAATAACATACGGTGGCAAAATATAGGGTAATCGGTGTCATCTTTCAATTGAAAATCGATCAAAAGCTCCTTAGTTTATTTTATATTACGCACCAAGTGAATACTTACACAATTTTATTAAGAAGGGACTTTGTAATTATATTAGTAAAATATAAATACAAGCTTTTATGAAAAATATCATAATATAAATAAACGTATCAATACACTAGTACTTTCTTTAATTTAATTATTATATTTAAAAAGTGCTAACTGAAGAAAACAATTTCGACCACCTATCAATGAGCAGCTGAAACAATTCAAATCGACGGTTAACTTAGCAGATGCTTTGCCAACTTATGCAATCACAAAAGCTCTAGAACATATTGACATTGATTATATCGATGTTGACATAGTGGTTACATTTGAAAGTAAAGATTATTATTATATGAATTATAAGGAAATGTAAAAAGCTCTTACAAATTTTATAGGGAAGACATAAAGTACAAATTTTGACCATTGTAGTACAGTGCAGGTTGTATGTATATAATATAGAAACATACCTGGAATAACTATATTAGAGGATATTTATATATTCAACATCGAGATAATATATGTATGTATATTGTATAATGTTTTTGGTCATATGAATACTTGTTCTGGTCTTGTCTTAACTGACGTAACTGACGCATAGAGGGTAAATATTTCAATCAATCGAAGAAGACAGAGAAGAATAATTTATAATAATAAGTTAAAAGAAAGTTTCAAACTTAAGCTAAAATATTTTTTTAATAACTGGTATTTATTCATACATTTGTAGATTTTTTTACTGATTAAAATTAAAATAATTTAGTTACGACACGACATTACGATGTAATTTATATTAAACTAGTACCTATTTGTTTCCTTACCTTATTTATATCTAATGTCGCCATGCCAATGATTAATGGTGTCCATGGACTAGCTACATAGAAAAGAAAAATAAAATAAACGTCTTGTTAATATTTTGTTGCCAAGATATCTATACTATAATAAAACAGTAGAGGTCGAATGTCTGTACATAGCAAAAAAATGCTAAAAACGGAGTCAGGGGGATGTAATAAGACAAATAGAACAAATCCAGATTTTTTTCAATTTTTTTGTTTCTCTGTCTGTTTGTCTGTTTGTACGGGCTAATCTTCGAATCTATTGGACCGATTTAAATGAAATTTTGCGTGGTGGTACATTATATCCCCGGGCAACATCTTAGATACCTTTTATACCGGAATATTAAATAGTTCCCGTGAGATAGTTAAAAAACTATAAAAACTTATGCACCTAATTTAGTGAAATTTAACATTCTGATACCTTATATTGCCGGTCAAAAAACAGGTTACTTTTCATCCCGGAAAAATGAACGGTTCCCGTGGGAACTAATAGATCTTTATCATTGTTTTTCGCTAGTCAGTATTAAAACGTAACGTAAAGGATAATTATATTGCACATTGATTTTTTTTGAATCTTTGTGTTTAGAAAGCACTTGCTTTTAAAATTTTCCTAAAAAATTTTTTATCTATAAGTAGGAATGTTTTATATACAATGGCAATAATAGTTACAACTTTATTTTACATATGTAATGAGCAGTTGTAATATATACTAACATTAAAATATTATTTAAAATTTATTTTAATATTTTTGTTTGGGCCAATCTGGGCTTGTAAGCTGTTTTTAATAAATTATATTCTTTAAGACAATATTCAAGTGTAACTTAAAATATATATATATATATATATATATATATATATATATATATATTTCTTTAACTATGTTATTAATTTTAACCCACATGTTTACATACTTAAACAAAATTTGAAAAATATATCGTACACCATATCGAAAATTCTAACACAAATTAGCGGATGATCTAAAAACAAGTTTCTATTTTATAAAGTATAATAAAAATACAATCCTATATAAAATTAATTTCTATAACAAAACTTTTTGCTAGGGCCGAAACGTATTGATTTTTATCATAGGTACTTCATTTATTAAAAAACGAGTATAAACAGATGTAGCTTAAATATCCAAAGAGCACATTTTGAAAAACGAAAAAATAAGTTTATTTGTTTGTTTGTTGACTGAGGATAGTCTTTGGAACTATTGAATTCATCTTAGAAATTATTTTACTAATAGAAAGTAACACTGTTTCTGACTAATATAGACAGACTATATGTATGCAACAACTATACAAGCAAATCCATGTGCCAACACCATTTAATAAAATTTAATAATAAACCCTATATATTTAAATATGAACATTCCGAGTTCACCATCGTTAAAAGTGCGACGTAGAAGTACGACTGACAATAACTGTTCATAACATTCAATAACGACTTCTATTTATTTATGAATAAAGTTTATATTTCTTAAAAACGCGCAAGTTATACTTTAAGCTATACTAAACTTGGCTGCGCGATCGATATGAGCAGGGTCTTTGCAAGAGCTTTACAGAGTCATTTATAGTTTATTTGATAAATGATACTATTTATTACTCACGTAATATATTTCATTAAAATAAATAATAAATAACGACACAGTAAGATAATAATTTATTTTGAAATATCCTTATTAAATATTAATATTCTAAATGTGAAAGTTTGTGAGTATGTATGGATCTTTGTTACTCTTTCACGCCAGAACGGCTGCACGGATCTGGATGAAATTCGGCACAGAGATAGATTATAGTCTGGAATAACACATACTTTTTATCCTGAAAAAATGTACGGTTCACGTGGGATAGTTGTGTTTTTGCTTTCTTAGAGGCGAACCGCTACGTTTATTTGATAAATGATACTATTTTTTACTCACGTAATATTATTTAATTAAAATAAATAATAAATGACGACACAGTAAGATAATAAAAAAATATTGAAATATTTTTATCATTTCGGCTATAAATTAAATTACAACAAACTTGAATGAAAATAAATAAAAATATTGATATGCAAAAGTGATATACATAAAAATCTTATTATATATAAAAATGACTTTATACTTTGGTAATTATGAAGTTTTTCAGATAATAATAGTATGTTTAGATAGAAATACTTTATTAAAAATGGCACCCAACATTACCCCGAAATTGGAGAGAAATAGAAAATCACGAATGAATCACGTTCTTACTGTATGCCACCCTACGCACAACCTATAAAATATTTTCAACATCAATATTATGAGTCACGTTATTTTTTTAAAATCAAAAAGAACATGTACAGACACAATTCAAATTTAATAAAATATTCTGACCTATAATTACAGAGCAATTATAATTTTATTTCTATAAATTAAATTTCTAAGAAAGTTTTAAATTCTGCGCATTTACAATAATTGCGAAGTTTGCCCCGCGCCCGAGTGACTCATCAAATTTTCACAAACGAATTACTAACTGTCCCAACGTCATTATTTCTTACATACATGCGTTTCCATTTGCCATCTGTGCACTGTTATTGATTATATTTTTATTGCTGACTAATATTTTATGCGGAGAAAATTGGAATCCAATTTGAATAGAACCAATTTTGTTAGTTTCTAATATGATTAAGCTTTATTATTATTATAGTAATATAATCTATATAGGTTTAAAATAGTCTAATTTTATCAAGGTAGTTACAAAAAATATCTGCATTTTATAATTAAATACAAATTATAAGACATCTTGAAAAGCTATATAAAAATGTCTATTTAATGTTTGTCTATTAAGAGCAATCAAAACAGAACCGAAAAAGCTCCAAAAGCATTCCAAAACCTAAAAGTAACAGAATCAAAAATTAAAAAGTTGCAATACGTGCAAGCGTTCTTGCATCGCGCCAATTTCATTGCTACAAAGTGCGTAATATCGATTACCGACTCCCTCGCCCCGGCCCGCTTCGACGCACTATCCCATGTACTAATAACATCGTAAAACGGAACGCAGTGAAACGTCAACTTTGCGCGCGAAGCACAAACGCCATTTTGTTTTCTTCGCCGCTATAAGCCCTTTTTTCCCGCCATGCGTTCCCCCCGCCGTGGTTGCCATGACAACCGATCTGTCACACGCACAGAACATAAAACGCAGGCATTGATTTTTTCCCCGCTTCCTCTTTTACTTTTACGCGTGTCGACTTTTTGCTTGGATTTTTATTTTAAAAGCGCGAGTTTTGGCGCTATGTACGAGTGCTCTCGGTTATTTGAACGGGTTGTAACGTTTGTGAGACTAAGCGCTTTGCATTCTTTTTGCTTTAAGCTTCGTAAAAGTTTAGACTTGCAGGCGATAAATTGTTTATTGCTATTAATATGAAATGTATTAAATGATTTCTTTGAAACCAATTTACTATTTTTTTTCTGTTTATCTAAACCTATAACTTCTGTTGAGCTGTTTTAAAAATATGAAAATCTTAATATATGTATGTTTCTTTATTACTTAAATAGTAAAATAATTTACAGAAGGTGATATTATTTATAAACAAATTATATTGTTGCTTAAGACGAAATAAGTTAAGGTAGGCCCGTTAACCCGAGGGCCCATGCTGTCCCTCGCAATTCACAAACGGATTTTCACCCTCTAACTCCGTTGTTAACTCAATCTGAGGAAAATGTCGGAGATGCGGGCCCATCTTAGAACTCAATGTTTCACAGATTTGCTCATAATGTAGAGCTCCATAAATATAAAGGAATTGAATAAAATAAAATTTATACATTTTCAAATAAGTAATGATACTTCTTAGTTCTTTAAGTTTATATTTTAATTTATTTGTTTTTTTTATCCTTAGTAATTAAATTTTACATACTAATTGATCATGTTACACTACACAGCTTATATGTACACGGTTTGTGGCACAAAGATGAATGCAAAGTAATAAGTCCAGTGGGAAAACGTTAAGTTTGCAGTCGAGATAGTCACGCATAGGAGTTTAATCTTACACCCTTATAAAGAGGTAAAGTGTGTTTGCTTTTTTGTATGTAAGGCAGTCTTTGAAAATAAGGAACACTATCATTTCCAACATGATTAAAACTTGTCTTAAAGGTGAAGGAAAACATCGTGAGGAAACCTGCATGTTTGAGAGAACCTAGCAAGTTTTCAAAAGACATGTGAAGTCCGCCAACCCGCACTTGGCCAGCGTGGTGGACTATGGCCTGATCCTCCTCGTACGGAAGGGAGGTCCGTGTCCAGCAGTGGGACGTTAAAAAGTGTTGAATATATATATATATATATATATATATATATATATATATATATATATATATATATATATATATATATAATATATCCTAAGTGACTCAAAAAAAAGACGGAGTCAAAGGTGATAGCAGTATCTACTTCAAATCATCGTAAAAGTGATTAGGTATTTTCCCCTGCGGGATAGATTTTATTTATTTAAATGGAACTATACTATATACTCTAAGTACTCATTAAAAGGTAACATTTAATTGTATATAATAAAAAGAAAAATTAAAATGTCTTTTTAAGGTGAATTTAGTAATTATTATTATCTCTTATTATTTATTTTTAATAGTAGCGACTTACCCTCGATTGGCTCGGGTGCCTCGGTAACTCCAAACCCCCTCCCCCACTCCCCATCCCACCCCCTCCAACATGCGATCACCTTGTCGTGGTGGGGGACTTAGTAGTGCCCGGCAATACAGCCGGACGCGAAGCCAAGAAACGCACTGAGAGGCGGCCTATCTCGGCGGGCGGTGTGCTACGCGGATTGCTCCTGGTACTTCTCTGATAGCAAAGTGGCCGTGAAAGCAAACCCATGGTTGTTGTGGTCTGTTTCGGCAGACCTGCTGTCGTGGTTAAGTGCGTAGCGATCCTGCGACGTCCCATTAAGACTGGGGAGGTTCTGTTAGGTTTTAGGCGTAGTACTGAATTTGCCGGTGTGTCCCACACCTCGTGCCTAAATGCATTTCCCACCGCTAAAAAAAAGGGTATCGGTTACTCCATGTCACTATTTGTGTCCTAAATTTCACCCAAATCTGTCCATCTTTTAGAGCGCGAAGGAGTAACTAAAATAGTAGTCCGATTATAGTCATTTTCATTTTACGTAACATTGATAAAATAAATGCCGGATTTTTATTAACACATGAAATTGTAACATCCAACGTTCCCAAAGACGATTCTGTTCAAAGTTTGAAGACTTCACAGCGAGCAAGTTGACATGAAAAGTGATTGAGTATTCTTAGTTGTTTTTTTTTTAATTTTCTTTATCTTTTGATTTTGTAAATGTTCTCATTGGTATAAAATAGAAATATGCTAATTATTATTTCTTTCTAAAAGTACCTATATTCTCATCACTTAGATATAGACTTTTAGTAGGTCATGTTAATGTAGCCGCGGGCGTGAAACTAGTGCAAAGTAAATTTGATCATATCTTTTCGATTTTTTCATTAAATTGTTAAACTCCAAGGACTTATAATATAAATGTTAATTGTTAATTTATACTACAACTTAAAATTCAATTATTTTTATCTATACTAATATTATTAAGGAGTAAAGTTTGAATGGCTTTATGTAGGGGAAAATCTCAGAAACTACTGTTTGTCTCCAGATTGTCTTAACTTTCCGAACAAATCAGTTCTATGATTGCCGCTATGGTATCTGCCGCTAGTAACATTATATTATGTAACATATCAACCATCAGATCACCTCAAATTAGCCCTTGGTTTGTTTGGGTGCTCACTTTACACCATACTAATACATATATTAGCCATAAACTCTCCTCTAAACTTTTTTACGAGTTTCATTTACAGTTAGCAGTTCATGTTATATTGTTTTGTAGGACACTGTATGCTTATGCTGAAAAATATGCCGGAAATAAAAGTAGTCTACACACTTCTTTCTCCATTTACTGTTTCCTCTACCTGCTAATAAAGGCTTAGCTAAAATCGTTTCAGCCGCTACTGAGCTAAGTGAAACGGTTTTTTTTGGTATACATAATAAATAATGTAAGCTATAGATACCTATATGTATATAATAGCTATTTAAAATGACAATTTAATCCTTTTATTTATAAGTATAGATGTAAAATCATAGGTATATTTTGTTCTGGTTTAGCTAAAACTAGCGACTTACTCTCGCTTCACTCGGTTGCATTCCTAGGTACGTGAATTTTCTTCATAAATTCATGGGTTTTAACTTTTTTGAGCGGAACACTATTCTTTTTCTAAAATAAAAGTAGCCTAAGTTACTCCTCATAACATCAGTTAGTCTCGTTAAAATCGTTCCAGCCGTTCTGTAGATTAGCCCGAACAAACAGACAGACACACAAAAATTCTAAAAAATGATTTTTTTTCTTATACGTATAATACAGTATATACTTTCATATGTATTATATAAAAAGCTGTTATTTTGACAATACAAACAGGCACTTCAATTTTATTTATCTTTATAGATAAATCCAAAGCCATCATAAAGACATGTACAAATGCACAAAATACATATCTACCTATCTGAAGACAACATGACGATTTCGTTGTGTGAAGTAAACTTGTTTATATCATAAAATTGAAATTATTTGTAGGAAATGTAACAAATTAGTAGAAAAATAAAAACATCTGTAATTTTCTTTACTGATTTATTTATTATCATCTCACAAAAGAAATAAAAAATAATAAATTGAGATAATTTAATTGAAATCAAATGAAATGCAAAATGTTTCGAAAAATTCTAAGCCCAGATTCACTATTCTATATATATATTCTAAAAATATATATTCTACGTTATGTTCGACGAACAATAATTATAATAAAGTCTAATAAATAAAATTACATACATACATACATACATAAGCTAGTTAAATTTCGAAATACAAACATACCAATATATATTTAAGTGTCAAACATAACCTCAAATTAAGATACAAGACTATTTTTTTAAATGTAACTTATTTAGATATAAAAGCTCAATTATTACCACAAGAGAATTAAGCTTTTTAAGCTTCCATTTAAAAAAATAAACTTCAAATAGATGCTCCTGTAAATTCAACAAACAAATCGATAGATGAACGGACAATAGTAATCTAGAATTTACATTCCAGACACGTACTTCTATACTCTATATTACTATGCATTAATAAGCCAACTAGTCGATAGTTTGAAAATTGTCGGAGTTAAAAAAATATCGAAACGTGTAGTTAGCTATAATTATAATATAATAAGCAAGTCCAGAACTGCAAGAGATCATTAAAATAAGCATTCATATATTTAAATTAATATTGTAATACATTAATTGGCATTGTATAAAGAAGTAGAATTGTAAATGGTTCCAATTTTTGTACAAAATTATAGCTATTCGTTTTTTTTTTCATAAACAATAATTATTGTGTTTTCTACTTATTTACAAATTGCATAAATTACACATAATACTCGATTAATATACTTATAAAGCTATGTTTATATATATGTACATATTTATTTAATACTCTGCCATTAGGATTATATGTTATTCTAATAAAACTTCATATAACTAAAACATTCGAAGCCATTACAAAACTTTCATACACAAATGGGGAATATAACAATATTAATGTCATGACTTTGCATAAATAAGTCAAAATATTATAAAATTTCATTTAAAAATAGCACAAATGATATAACGTATATACATCGTTGTAAAGTGAGTTGTCTGTCATATCAAGCTTTTATCTGAACAATGCTCTTAAGTTTTATTAGTCATATACACAGTAATTGAAAGCTTAAGCTTATAACGCCATCTAGTGACGAAAAGCTGTAGCTCATAAGCGTTCTGATTTATAGCAACCGTAAACCAAATCTTAAAATAGCATCACAATATTTAAAGAGTACCTATTAATTATTATTATTCATGATAGTACATTGACAACAACTTGGTATCCAAAAAACGTCGGTATACAAATTCTGTCCACTAGATTCGAGCGCCACCAAACGCTTTTGAATATATTTTTGTTCGCAACGGGAAGTGTATCCAATAGGCAACGTACATATTCCACTGCATTCAGTTGATCTGTATAACAACATTTATAAAAATTATATTATTAAAGTATTAAAAAAAATTTTTTTTTGTAAAAAAATATAGTTCTACTTGCCACTAGATGGCGTTGAAAGTCATAGTTCTCTAAGCTAAACATAGATGGCGCTATGATCTAAAGCACAAAAAAAAATCATTTTCACCAATATAAAGAAATATTTTGTTATTTATTGAGAACATACATATTATGTATTTTTAAAACACTCATAAACAGAAACATTTTTTTAAGGTTTTGTATTCTTTTACCCTATAAAATTAGGTATGGAGATAGATTATATCCTTAGCGCAATTGTTTATCGACTAAATAAACACACGAACAGAACCACTTCTATAAACTAGCATTATATATATTTTTACAAAAAAATACAAACTGTAAAAGTATGTATAGTTTATTATCTTCGCGTAATATCCTTGCGATGAAGGCAAACTAACTGATGACTATAAAAAAATAGTATATATACTCACGAGCAAATCTCAGCCCTGACCAGCTGTGTCATGTTATCAGGCATGTTGACGACGTAGCGCCAGTTGCCTTTATTATTAAGGGCGGCGCGCGGCGTGATGAACTGCGTGCGGACCCTGCACAGCTCCTCAGTGTTGCCCGCTTGTCGCCGAGGACGTTCCGCTGACGCGTCTTCGCTGTTACATATTGTGTTATTAGGTCTATTAACATTCCCCCTGATGATTTTCACCGTGTGGTGGTGAGACCACCCACGACACCACCCCCCGGTGGTTTCGTTGGTGTGTTCTGATGGTTTTGTTGAGTTTTAGTGGGTAGTGCTGGTTTTTCTAGCCGTTGAGGCCCACATAACCACCTGTATGTGTGGTGGTATGTATTGCCCAACATTAAAAAAGGTCTATTAACATTCATAGGTAAATTAAATAATTACGTCTAGAATTATTTGAATTTATTATCCAAAAAATAAAGAATCTCTTGAAATATTATAAAGCCTCTTCTACATTAATAATATTAGTTAACTAATTACTAATACATTAGTATAGTATATATATATTAAATAGTGCTTAAAAAGTAAAGTGTACAGCACCTCTACATGTACAAACAATGTACCTACGCTACATTTGGTTACTATGGAATCTTAAGTAACACAGAGAAGCTGAAAGGTAAAGAACGAGACTACATCTTATATAAGCAAATAATTCTAGTTAATTGTAAGAATATTAGCAATCAGTTAGTTTTAAATAAAACTATCTTTTCGGTTTTTTCGCGGATTTATTTTGATTTTTGGTTCCTGACGTTTCGAATGCCTTTCAACAATCATGGTCAAGGGAGAGAATAAAATCAAATAATCAAATATCTGCGTAAATCTAAGAAAGTAAACAGTTAGTTACTTAGCTAATCCCAGAGCTATCCTCAAAGCCTCAGTCCCAGTCAAGGTTCTGGTCGCAGCGGCCTTCACGAGTTCGGCGTTGCGACGTCGCCTCGAATGTAACGTGGTAGTGCGCGTTGGAAACGTTAGAGACCGTTGAATCGTCACGTCCGCGTCCGACCGCGAAGGCGACATGTACCTAAAAATATAAAAATCTATTATAATAATTAAATATTTCCTTAACAAGCTCTATTGAATATTGTAATTATGAAACAGCGTAGATGTATGACTCAGGTAAAAAAATAATTTAAGGATTTAATTATAAATAGTCAATGCAAGTTTTGAGATAAAATCAAACTATAAAATCAAACTTATTTTAAATTATAGATATATAATGAAGTTTGGAATATTATTATTATCTATACTAATATTATAAAGAGGTAAAGTGTGTGAGTTTGTGAGGTTGTAGGGGGTAATCTCTGGATCTACTGAACCGATTCAGATGAATTTTGGTAAGAAGATAGTTTAAGATCCTAGGAAGGACATAGCATACTTTTTATCCCGGAAACATCCCTTAAGGGGGTAAAAATGGGGATGTAAGTTTTGTATGGGGAATCAAGCTAGGGACGCTCGGTGAGTCGCTAGTTATTTAATAAATAACTAGAAGGAAATTGTGTTAGTCATTCTCTATTAAAGTATCCAAGAAAGTTCGGAAACTTAGATATGTGAATCACAAAACCGACTACCGTATATTATTTAAGCGATAGTGACTAAATATAGGTACATGACACTCGCTGGGATAAACCCATTAGTAAGCAAACACTTAAACAATGCTCATCCATTACTCGAATTTGTGTTTCATTCATGAAAAAGAAAATAAAATTATACTCAAAGATATAAATAAATAGACTTATGTTACCAATAATTGGCACTATTCTCGTAAAAACTTGCATACGCGGCTTTCCCTGCATATTTTATTCATGTGTAATTGTTATGCTCATAAGGATCGTATTGTTATGTTAAAACCTGTATAACCTAAAATAGGTTATAGAATTCAAAAAGAATTTTTCACTTTAGATTTGAGTACAATTTACAATATCTTAGCACATCTTAATACAACGATGTACCTAAAATACAAGTATAATTGCTGGCAAAAACATGTATGTGATATATATTAATATTATTCCATTATTAGGTTTACCATAAATCCCTTGCGGTTTCACATAAAATAAATCTAAATAACATCGTCAAAATGCTTTAGAAAGGAAAATCGAAGATATCATTGCGTTGTCTACAAAATACACATTATTACTGAATAAATATCAATGTATAGCACAGGACCACTTACTTCCACCATTCACTCGGGTTATACTGGGTCACTCCACTGGACGCTCTTAACCATTCCGCCTCATAGTTTGGATACAACGGCGAGAAGTAGTTTGGATTATAAACATTTAAATTGTTATCACTGTTTTGCCTTAATCTTCTATTGTCATAATCAAATTGATCAACCGATGGGTTCCAGTATGGGGAACTATGGTACCCTTGAAAGCCGAATTTTGAATAGTTTGACGCTTGATAAGCTTTTATGTTGTATGGCGTGGGTCCAGCTATATACGGTGGCTGGAGAGGTGTCTTCTCAGAATATACATCTGTAAATTATGTAATAGTTAAAAATTAAAGTTACTAAACTATTGATGCAAAACTAAGTAGCTTATAAACATATTTTGGATATGTACATACATCTATTTTTATATAAAACATAATTTCAAGTTATATGTATTTAGATTTAATAACTTAATTTCAACAAAAAACAATATTTTTAAGTTATTCCTATATATTATATTTATCATTTGAATATAATTTTTAGTATTCTTAATGATTATTAATTCAGAAACGCTCTACGCATTCATATGTAATACATATACATACATATAAAAGACTAGCATTGCGTGCGGCTCTGTCCGCGTTCAGATGACCAATATTAGTATTACTCTTACATTGCAGTTTTTGTATTTTTTCTCAGAAATGAGACAATTTCCTGCGGTAAAAAGTATTCTATATGTTGACCCGAATAACCAGTTATCATCATACCAAATTTCATCAAAATCTATGCAGTGGTTTTTCTGGAATACGGTAACAGACAGACAGACAAACAGACAAAAATTCTAAAAACTATAGATTCGGCCTCTGTATCGATAATAATGTATATTTCAATAAGATTTTCCACAAAATATTTAATGTACAGAATCGGCTTAGTTAGAATTTTAGTATATGTATAGATAAATCAAAACGCCGCACATTTTATATTAGAATAAACTAATGCGTGCTACGACATTTTTAAAGGCTTTAACTTTTCATCATAATAATTCCCACAGAGAAGCTAGTAACAAATTAATTAAGATTTTCTCTTCAATAAATCGATTTTTATGTATCTGTGACACTTTCTAAATATAAGCTTATCAATCAATAGAAGAGTTTGTGCGTTGAGATTATTGATCATAATATAACATTTGCATAAATACAAATGATAATATTTTAATATGTTTGGAATTTAACTATCGATCATTCTTGTTAGTAACCATTGTAATTAAAATATTTTCTACTTTAGGAATACATTTCGAGTAAACTAATGGCTACTTAAAACAATTTTTAATATATAATTTTTTATTTAATTTTTTTTAATATTTTGGAATATTAACACACAGCACCATCTAGTTCCATGGTAAGCTGCGAGGCCTGTGTTATGGATACCAGATAGTTGATACACTACACATATTATATAACTTTAAATACATACATATTATAAATATAAACACCCATGACTGGAGTACAAACATTCGTGCTCATTACACAAATGAATGCCCCCAGCGGGACTCAAACCCGCAACCGCTGGGATAGTAATTAGGGTAAAACTACAAACTGAGCCAAACGTGTCATCAATTTTATTATTTAGTATAAATATTAAATATAATGACTAACAAATTTCGAACTACAATATTATGAGAAGAATTATTGGTGTGAGTAATATATACCCTATAGATACATTTATTATAATTGATAGTCGTTCTAATCCAAACTACGAGAAATATTATAAATGTAAAAGTTTGTGAGGATGGATGGATGTTTGTTACTCTATCACGCCAAAACGGCGGAACAGATCTGGATGAATTTTGGCACAGAGGTACAAGTATATTATAGTCTGGAATAGCACATAAGTTACTTTTTATCCCAGAAGCGAAGCGAGGGTGGGTCACTAGTTGATAGTATTTCATAGTGAACCAAACTCATCGATCAAAAAAGTACTAGATACACAATCACGTGCATAAGTTCTTTTAAAACTGTCACCAATTGTGTTTAGGTAATTATTCTAGTTGAAATAAATACACAACAATGTAAACTGAACAATGCTTACAGTAGTTTTTACAAAAAAAAATTAAAACGCGCTCAAATGTTGAAATGAGTGCTCATTCGGTGAGGACTTTTTGTATCGCTGATTGTGTATCTAGTACTTTTTTGATCGATGACCAAAATTTCTCTTCATTCTTTCAAAGCTAAAATAATAGTAAAAATGAATATACATATATTAAACTTACCGTGATTGTATTTATTATTGAACTTTGTATTATAATCCTTGTGATATAAACTATCATCTACCAATGAGATTTGATCGACATGAGGCAAAGAATTTGGCCCGTAACCGTACGGGTAGCTTCCTTTTTTATTCGAATCGAAGTCGTCGCGGCTCTCGTCAGATAAAAGTGTCCTAATATCATACTGCCCAGCTTCAACTAATTTTCGTATAACTTTTCTGCAACATATAATAATAAGGTTAATTAGCGTCTCAAGCAGTGCCGGATTAAGTAAGCGCGGGGCCCGTGGCAAATTCTTTTGAAGAGCCCTTGATCATCTATGGGTTTTTAAGTATAAAGTGGTTAAAAATACAATTCAATACTCAATACCTCAGACCTCAATACGTTTATTTGCCATCTATAGGTTACAATTTTGTGAGTGATTAATAGTTCAGTAGATTCCTATAGGCTCTGTTAGGCTCTGACAAGTACAAAAAGCCAGAGATGAGAATTCCTGGCAATTTAGGATGATTTTGATAAGAAACTAACAATTGAAAAGTGACGATACTGCACAATTTTTTTTAATAGATATTTCTAAACGACCAATTTTTGTTTATTTATACCGGCGATCTCGGAAACGGCTCTAACGATTTTGCTGAAATTTGGCATGTGGGGTTTTTTTCTATCAGTAAGATTAACTGTCAGTTTTATGAACGGCTAGTAAGTTTAACTGTCAGTTGGCATGACTGTCAGTTAGTTTTACTGTCAGTTTGTTTAACTAACAGTAAGTTTAACTGTCCCCCCCAACGTGCGTTCACCTTGTCGTGGTGGGGGGGCTCAGTAGTGTACTCGCGAAGCCAAGAAACGCACAGGAAGGTGGCCCGCTTCGGTGGGCGGTGGGAGGCGGCCTTCTTCGGAGGGTGGTGTACCATGCGGGTTGCTCCTGGTACTTCTCTGATAGCAGAGTGGACCGTGGAGCAACCCCATGGTTGTTGTGGTCTGCTTCGGCAGACCTGCCGTCGGGGCGTCGTAGTTGAATGCGTAAGCGATCCTGCGACGCCCCATTAAGACGGGGGAAGGTTTTGTTGGGTTTTAGTGGGTAGTACTGGCTTCGCCGGTGAGTCCCACACTTCGTGCGTAAATGCATTTCCCAACGTTAAAAAAAAAAAAAAGTAAGTTTAACTGTCAGTAAGGGTAACTGTCTGTAAGATTAACTGTCAGTAAGATTAACTGTCAGTAAGTGTAACTGTCTGTAAGATTAACTGTCAGTAAGATTAACTGTCAGTCTTATGAACGGCTAGTAAGTTAAACTGTCAGTTAGCATGACTGCCAGTTAGTTTAACTTTCAGTTTGTTTAACTATCAGTAAGTTTAACTGTCAGTAAGGGTAACTGTCTGTAAGATTAACTGTCAGAAAGATTAACTGTCAGTTTTATAAACGGCTAGTAGTTCTGTATACCTTTTTAACCGACTTCCAAAAAGGAGGAGGTTCTCAATTCGTCGGAATATTTTTTTTTTGTATGTTCGACTCTCAAGCTTACTCGGGCAAGAACTAGTTTGAAAATGAAGTCTATATATATAAAACAAAATCGGGTTTGTTATAGTACTTATAACTCGAGAATTGCTGGACTCTTCGCTATGTTGGAGATTCTTTGCTATGTTGGATTTGTCTCCGCCTCGAATACCAGAATAACTTTTAAAACATCGGGAAAATTCACGAAAAAAAATTGGAAAAAAAAACTATTTCATACTAAGCGTCAAAACGTACCTAGGGACGAACCTGAGCGAAGCGAGTGAGAGTCGCTCGTTTAAAATAAAACGCTAAAATATTAAATAGGGTACGTACAATGTACATATTTTATGTTAAGATTTTATTTATTAGAACGATATCTAGATATATTGCCTTCATTTAATTTAACTTCAGTTTAAGTAACATTTTAACAAAAATATAATAAATTAACAATTACGTTAATTATTTATTTTGAACAAAAATGTAGATGCAATTTATAATAATCTAAACACTACTGTTTGTGCATTTGTATACGTATTCTGATACGGCAATCTGATAAATGCACAAATCGTATAAAAAATAGAAACAATAAAAGTACAAAGAAGTATAAAATAAACTTACTCAGGGTAAGGTTCGGGATGCAAGCAGTAGGTGAGGCCGGGCTGGGCGCATGCGGGCGCGCGGCCTGGAGGCGCGGGCTCGAACGCGCAATTTTGGCCGTACGGGCAGTTGTACCCGGCGCCGCCGGTCGCTGTCCATAGTACCTGTAAATGCAAAATAATAAATAACTTATATGTATATATAGTAGCTTATTTCTATGCATCGGTACACTCAAGGATGATTTCGTTGACAAAATGTTAATTTTAATCTGGTAGATTTCTCCATTTTAAACACTCAAATCTGCTGTTATTACATCATACACACACGCACAAACACACAGTTTTACTCTCTTATGCACTCATGCATTCACTCACCAGCTCAAAACTTTATTGATACATATTATATGTATATTTTTTAGATCGACGTTATAATACATCTATGCCAATATAATGAGTGAAAATAATGTACCTTGGTTCGTCTTTTTCTCACGCTGCAACCGAGCAACAGATTGACGTGATGTTTGATGTGATATTTTTGGGTCAAACTTCGAGTTTTAGGGGACATTGGACTTTAATTTCGATACATGAAATGGTTGTCGTGGAATATTTTAGTATTCTCTTAGAATTAGGTATTATAAATAATATTTGTATAATATAACGATTAATTATCAATATTGCAATGCTATGCAGCTACACTATTCCATATTATGTAAAAGACAGAAAGTTCATAGAGTGGCATGCATAATATATATATATATATATATATATATATATATATATATATATATTATGCATGCCACATTTCCTTGCTATAGATAACTAATAACAAAAAACTATTATATATATATATATATATATATATATATATATATATATATATATATATATATATAGTTATCTATAGCAAGGAAAACAATAATCGTGAATGTAGCATGGATACGTCTTTGCCCTACATTACTGTAACACAGTAACGCCCACCGGTTTTGATACAAATGTCAATGTCATTATTACTCATCGGCAGCGAATATCATGCAAATAATAAACGAAATGATCTCTATTGAATTCCTATATCAAAGGCTGCAAGGTGTAAGATTGTAGCTCAGTAGATATAGTACCCATTTTGAAATTAAATCGGGTGAATATATAAGAATATATAGGACATTACAAATTACTAGCGACTTCCTCTGGCTTATTATTATATATAATATTGGCAGAGATTACCCCCTACAACCTCACAAGCTCATAAACTTTACCTCTTTATAATATTAATATAGATATATTAATATTTTACTATATGGTCCAAGTAAATTAAATTAAAAAAGTAAAAACTATTTGTGATTATCTTATTAATAATCCTTCTATTACGTATTATTTAACTAACGAAATCTCTTTATCCTCAACCACATTTAGCCATTGTTAAGGTAAACTTTTTAGAGAAAGTCTTTATAGTCTACAATCTGCATATGTAAGAGATTTGTATATTTTTGTTTACATTTATAGTGTTGTAAAGACACGAGTGTGAACGGATATTCAACGGGCGAGTCAGATTAGTGCGTCGCTTTCATTTGTGTGATACGAATAAATAATTGCAATCGGTGCTTGGTTGAGTCATTGGACAACGGTAGACAGTTATTTGGCAAAGAGAATTATTGCGACAAAATAAGTAGTTATTGTCGAAAGAAGATTTATAAAAACAAATTGACGATACGTTTGGCTCAGTTTGTAGTGACCCTACTTGCTGTTCCAGCGGTCGTGGGTTCGAGTCCCGCTGGGGGCATTCATTTGTGTGATGAGCACGAATGTCTGTACTCCAGTCATGGGTGTTTATATTTGCAATAAAGTTATATATGTGTAGTGCACTTTTAGTTACTATAATATCCAAAAAAATCCTATCGAAAAGACCTAAAACGGGTTCGGAAAAAGCTATGACAAAAAAATATTATGTTTTATTACTTCAAATTAATTATTGTTAAGGTGGACAAGGAAGACCTCAATGATAACTTATTAGAAGTATCGAAACTTTGGGTGCTAGATGACCGTTGAAACTTTTATATGTTACTGCACTTATTCTTAACCAGACTGGTAGACACTTTTAATAATGCCCCATTTAGGGATAAAATCTGTGACTTTTAAAACGAAGTGAGATATTTCAATATTTAATAGCTATCTATATTTAATGAAACATAGTTAAATTATCAACATCTATCATTAAAATTTACTTATTCCTTAGTTATTTCGTAGCATTTCGTAACCTGTGTGGTTTGCTCGTAGGAGTCAATGCAATAAAGCCTTAAGATTAATAATATAGGGGCAAGGTTATGCAATCTCTGATAATCACATCCATTACAATAATGAGTGCATAAAATGTATCATTAAGAGTAGAAACGAACAATTGTCAGCAAATTAATCTGCTAAGCTTCGGTGTCAACCTCGAGTGTCGATGAGAGGTGGAAAAGACTTAAACGATCACCGTATCTTTATAAGATCTATTTTATGTACGTTCTGTTATACGGTACTTCAAAAACCAGTTCAAAAAACAGTCAGAAATTGTTTATTTTAATTAAAAAATTTGAAATAGAAATACACTTGAAACAGGATTTAGAAGATCAGTTGTATGTTGGATTGGAACTAACTAAACTATGCTAAAGAGATATTACACTAAATCCAAAGGGGGCTCAGTTAGCAATCTGAACTAAGCATTCCTTTATATAATTAACAACATATAACAGTTCGTTTTTAACATTAAAATTTGCAAATTTCTTAATATAATATAATTAAATAGAGTAAACATTTCTGCGGTGGGGCTGCAGAGGAAGGGGAGTGTCGGCGTTGTCGCATCCTCTTCTCCTGCAGCCGTTTGTGTTTGGGCTCGTTCGCGGGCGTCTTTGGGGGGTTTGCCCAATTTGGGCGGGATGTTATTATTTTTTGCAGGTTGCCCACTTCGGTGGGCGGTGCTTGTGTGGTGTGGTGCTGCTACGGGTACTTCTCCGACCAGCAGAGTGGACTTGGGAGCAGCCTCACTTAGTGGGTTGAGAGTCTTCCCATAATGGGGTTGTCCCGCTTGGGGCGGCATCACGGTTGGTGGCTTCGGCTAATCGTCGGGGCGACGCGGTTGTATACGTGAGCGATTCCGTGGCGTCCCACATGGCGGCAGGGGGGGCGGTAAGTTGGGTTTTAGTGGGTATGCCGGTCTCATTAGCTGGAGAGTCTCCACATAACCACCCCGGGGGAAGTCGGGTGGTATCCGTAATAGGATTTCCCAACTATAAAAAAAATCTTATCTATGAATACAAAACATAAATATAAAAAAAACGTGTGTGTGTACTTATATACGCACGTAAGAAGTTATACTTCTTTGGTGTAACAGAAAAAAACTAAAGATTTCATCTCGTATGTCACAACTCTCTATTTGTAAAAGGAATGCAGCTAACTTCATCATGTCGCATCGCATTATACTCCCATATTTTTTTCAAACGTGCCGAAAGAAGTATAACTTCAAAAAAACTTTTTAAATACATACAGATTTCTCTGATACTGAAACCTTAGTATGGTAAACCGGCTCACACTTAACTTTCAGATTAAGTACTCCATTTGTGCTTTTTTTGATTAAGTAATAATAAATAATAACAAAAATAAACGCTAACTCAACTTGTGTATGACGCTCGATTGTTTATGACACTTCCCTGTGACGTCACTGACGCCATGTTGCGCAAAATAGTGTTTCGGCGGCGTATTTAAATTGTACTTTTTTAATTGCTATTTTTGGAAGAAGAATGTACTTATAAGTATTAAAAATTAAAACTTTTTGTGGGCTCAATAAACACCACTTAAAAATTTGAGTTGGTTTCTAGAAACCATTCTCATAGCCTATTCTATAACCATAAAATATAATATAAAATTTTATCAACTTTTTTAATGATATATTAAAGAACGAGACTGGTAGTTGTTACACAATAGATTTTATGAATAGTTTTCCTTATTAAACCTTGAAATGTTCTTTAAATTGCCTAATAACTAAACGTTTGTAATTTCATAATTACACGCATGAATTAAAACTGCAACATCTGCTATATTTTGCCTTCCAATGAGTTGTAAGAAATCAAAAAATTTCAAAGCTCGTGCATAATTGATCAACTTACATTTAAAAAAAATGTAAATTATTCTCACTCACACCAATTCGTTACTCTGTTTCGACTTAAAAGGAGAACAAACAAACAAAGCAAGTCAAACAGTATGTCATAGAAAGCGAAAGTGTCAAATCTACAAATGCATTCAAGTAGTTTATATTAATTTTAAAATTGCGTTCATAATTATAAAGTAGTAAGGAAAAAGAAAAATGTGATTTTATGTTTTTCCGTAGAATATTTCCAATTTTTCTCTTCATAACAAACTTCTTTGGACTTCAACGAATATTTGAAAAAAAAATAAAACCAAATTTGTCCAGCCGTTCTCGAGTTTTGTGCTTAGCAACAAATTTAGCCATTCTTTTTCATATATAAGGTTTCCTGCCTTTCATATAATTTTGGCTATATTTTGCTAGGTATCTGAAAGGTAACTTGTTATTAAAAATTTCTTCTCATGAATAGATAATATTCCTATCGCAAATTCAATAGGCAGGGACTTCTACACTAGAAAACAAATATTTTAACTACATTATGTTCTACGTTTCAACAAACTACATAGGCGGAGTTCAACGTAATTTATGTGTAACCAGAACGAACTGAGAGCGCCATTGTTTAGTCTATGCAAATCTTATTTACATAATATACGTATTTTCCTACTTGAATTAATGCTATTACATGAATGAAAATAAAAGGATAAACATTTTTCTTTGACAGTTTACGGCTAATAAGCTCCGTTACTATTTTCTCTAAAAATGTTAATGCAGTTTATAGCTTACGTAATTACTATCTAAGGTTATAATATATATATATAAAAACTAGCGGAACTGACAGATGTTCATTAAACAGAGATTCATCAAACAAAAAATATCATCAAAATCGGTCTAGCCGTTTAGGAGTGCAGTATACACATGTACAGAAAAATTACATATATAAAGATAAAAATAAGCTTAAAACTATGCAATTTATAGCTTATTTTTTGAAGACGGTATAAATCACGTTACGACTCCCAATGCGAGCGGAGCCGCATCATCATCATTATATTATTAAAAAAAATTAAGCCTTAGTCACACTCATGTAAAACCTGCCAGTGAAGCTTTTTAGCGATTCTGGAGCTTACGAGATACAAACAGGCAAACAGACAGAGTTTTTTTAATGATAGTACATCAAAAGAGGGTTGTTGTTTGGCCATTTTAGGTCGCTTCATTTTTATTTTTAAGTATAAGTCTTAAATTAAGTATCAATACGATAAAACACTTGTATCTGATATTTTTTTTAATATTTTTCCTCATAAAAGTAGTTTAAAAAAGATATAAATTACTGTTATATGAGCCCGTAACAATATTGCCTTATTAATTATGGGAAAAAATCGGAAGTTACGTTAGAATTACGTTAGGCATTGTGTGGTAACCGTACGTGCGTGTAACTACTAGAACGCGTCATT